TAAACGACCAAAAAAAACAGCAGCCACTAATCAGTAAGATGAAAGCCCAATTGAATGAATCAGAAATCGTATCTTACGGGCTGACTAAGGAGGATAATGAAGTAACAAAGGAAACAAAAGTGAGTCAAAGCTCCATTTTAAAAGATAATGTTTTCGGGTGTGCATAGTAGTAGAAGTGACTAAATCCGTCCATCTCCCCAGGGGGAATACTCATCGAATTCACATTCCCAGTCGTGTTTGACCGATGTTTTGTTCGTTAATCCGTTCACACCATCTCCTTTCTCTTCTCATCACTTCTATTCAAATGTCACATTCTCATGCATTCCCTCTCCTTTGCACCCAAACGACCAACCACAAACACTTGTTGATTTGCCGCAGGTTGATAGCGTATTGTTTCGGTTTCGCTCAATTCAATGAGAATTTCACTGATCTCAAGTACTGAATAAAAAACACCAAAAACGATTTTCTCAAAGTGGGCGTGCCATGCATGGCCCATGGGATAGTGGTGCTTTGAGGAGGAAATGAAAGCAAATTTGAATTTTCGANGCGTGCCATGCATGGCCCATGGGATAGTGGTGCTTTGAGGAGGAAATGAAAGCAAATTTGAATTTTCGAATCCTTTTATCCATTCTTTATCCAGTTACTAACCAGGAAGCCTGGAATCTGCATAATCAATGATGAACGAATTGTGAATCCTACTTTCATTCAAATATTTCAAGTACATGAATGAGTTTGTTTGTAATTTCAAACAGTTCGACTACTCATAATCAGTCAGAAATGCAGAATTATTTTTGCCTTTAAAAGAATTGAAATTTGAATATAACTCGAAATGAATGCATTGTAAATTGTTAATAATCCTTTACATTTACACTGAATTTGTGCAGATTGAAAACGAATTTGACTAATGATTCAATTTCACAAGTTTTTCACTTAAAGTGCTATTTGGTTATTTAATGTTTTCAAACGATTCAGAGTGGTTAGTTCCCGATTATTTGTCAAAATCTATTGGATTAGGATTTTACGATGGATTTAGTTGGGTGATGAAAGGCTACTCGCGATTACCAAAAGATTTTTGAAGCAACCAATGGATATGATGGATTTTGATGGATTCAAAATGTTGCATTTAAACTGGCAAAATTGTTTATTTCTGAAATGAACAAATAAACAGTTGAAAAAATTATTTTCACAAATGATTTGAATTGAATTCTGTGAAACATCTATAGGAATTCCATCATCTTTAAGACTGAAGTTTAAGGTAAAGATGGTTTTAGAGAAGATTTAAGAAGAGGTGTGATCATATGGGGAATCAAAAAATTTCCTCGAGTCGAACGGTTCATCTCATTAAGACTGTGATCGTTCCCAGTGCTCATCAGTTGATAAGTGATAGCTGTTGAAGTGATAAGGCGATAATGACGTTGAACTTGCACAGGTCTCTGATGGGAAATGCAATGCATAGAACTGCTCTCGGCCCGAGTGGAATCGTTGGTGAGGATGTGATTGCAAACGCAAATTTCCCAGCCAACCACCTCAGTTGGAAGTCTCGAAAAGAAAGTACTTGCCGTTGTCCCACTTATTCATCCTCATTAAAGGTCAATCAAGCAACGGTGCGCTTAATGCAATGCATGAGAAAGTTGATTGATTCGATAGATATATGAGCGATTGAACTGATACATTAATTGATGCCATTTTAATTGAATTGCTTCGAAAACACACAGATATTTTGGTGTCGTCATGGTGAACAGATACCTCATTCGATGAATCAACAAATTCCTCAATTCATAAAACAAACAATTAAATTAAATCTGCTCATCTTGATGAACTGTTAATCGCAAGATATTAATGCAGTAGCAATGCTGATCATAATGGTGCTGATAATTTCAATTCAAT